TCAGAAGTATAAGAAGTCCTTGCAGTGAAGGAATAGTCTACTCTTTCTGCTGATGTATAAGAGAAGAGGCAATAGGAGTAGCTTCAGTTGTTGTGTTAGAAGCAAAGGAAAAGCCCTGCAGTAGAGAAGAGTGAAAGAGAAAAGATTGCCTGGGAATTGTGCAGCCTTCATAATCAGAGACTTTAGGATCAGGGTGAACAGAGAGAGGTATTGTGTCAGGTCAGGCAGGTGGAAGAAAGTGGCTGCCTGAAGTTCTCTGTAGATCTGTGAGCTTGTCTGTATAGCCTCTGTTTTTTTTAGCTCCTTTTTTGAAATTAGTCTGCTTCTTGGGATTTATGTTTGCTCTTTTAAAATAATGATTTAATTGGAAGTACCTAAAAATACTTCAATGAGGATCTTTGTTCTCTCGTCAGTAGTAAAACGATTAAATACACAAGATTAGGATTTGTCTAGGAATAACACAAGGAGTCCTACAAAGCCAGCTCTAGAACAAGATAAGATTTAGTGCTGTGCCATGGTCAGTCACAAGGCCATGCTTCTATGAGAATGAGTTATTTCCCTGCTGCTGAGGTGGGGTGTTGGAGGCAGGGGGAAGGGTGATTCTTCTGAAATTTTGTTCTGTGGGCTTGTCAGAGAGTTGTTTTGTTGGTCTTTGAAGTATTCAGCTGTGCATCACTGCATGGCTCTTCACATTTGATTCAGGATCATAACAGCTTTCCCATTTGCATTTGTCTGGCACAAGCAAATTATTTTACTTGAAGGCAAAAGTAAATATGCCTCTGTTAAAACAAAAATGAGTGACTTTAAAAAAATCAATCATTTGTAGTTATAAAAACATTATAGCTGTTTTAAAGTAGTGTGTTTTCAGAGCACAATATAAAAATTGCTGAACGATTTTTCTTCACTTGGTCAGCCGGAGTTATTTGAATAATCACTTTAAATTTTCATTTTCTCTGGATTTGTCCAGATTTCTCCCTTCTGTTTCTAATGACTGCTTATTTTTCTTTGCAAATAGATTTCTAGTATGTAATGAGTTGCTTAAGGAGACAAATCTGGGGAGTTGTTTTTTTCTCCAGATGGTGAACTGGAGCCAGATACCTAACGAGAATCACTGAACCATGTTTTGAGTTTTGTTAGCAGACTTGAATTTTTTCAGGGACTCCTCAAAATGCTTGTGTTTTAAGAACACCAATATTGTCTCCATACTACTTTCTGATAGATATTCACCTGTTGAGTTTAAATACTGATAAATAGTCTTGTTTGGAAAATACTTTCAACTAACGATGTTGCTTCAAGCTACTAATGCAATGATTTTAGGAATGGGAACCTTCAGAATAAGACCTCTGATTTAAAATTTAAATTTTAAAATATTTAACTGTGATGTTCTATCTCTTTACAGTGATGTGACTATATAAATATTGTTGTGTGTAGGAAGAATCTTCCATTTCAGAGCTGTTTCAGTGAAGGGCCTTTGACTCTAGAAAGAGGTGAACTGCCGTGAATGGTTATTCCAGATCGACTGAGTGTGGGGGAGTTTATTATTTTGTGACTTTAGAAGACTCCTATGTGGATTTCTAAATTGTATTTTTAAATGTTTTCTCTAAATCTTGAGAGGAAGAAAAATCTGAGTGTGAATCAACTGTTGCTATGTATTTTGTTAACCAGTACTGTCTCATCTCTTTTTGCTTCCTCTTCTCATCTGTACCTACCTTGAACTTAGGGTAGAAGATCTTTGAGGCAGGAATTGTTACCCAGTGCTGTGCTGATTAATCATCTGGTATAATGGAGTCTTTGTGTGAATATGGCTCCTTATCCTTATCAAAAAACAAATAGTAAAATATTTTACGGTAAAAACATCATGAAGATGTTGCAAGCATTTTTGTAGAGTATTATCAACCTGTGAAAATGCAGGAGGAAGAATTATACTTTAGGTGAATATATTATTTATCTGAAAATTTTTAGTGCCTGTGTAATGTATTGTTAACTCTTCTAAAAAAACATTAATTAAGCATGTAGCTTATTAACATCCCAGATATATTGAAGCAGCTTTTGTAAAAGATACACATATTTTCTCTATGAGTCACAGCATAGAGATAGAATAGTTTATATGGTGAAATGATGTGGTTTTTTACCTAGCAGTTTGAATTGCTTTGAACTTCAACATTAACTTTGAATTTAAAGATTTATGCTGCTTTGTTTATTTCTAGCACTTTTCTAGAAACAAACAAAATTGAATGCTTTGTGTACTGTGTGCCCACGTACTGCATTTTTTTTAATGTTAAAGCAATACATACCTGGAGTGTATGCTTTTATTAATAAAAAAGGGTGGTGGTGGTGTGGGACACAAGTTCTTCTGCATATCACTGAGCTAACGCAGCACAACTTGGATCTGTTGTTATTACTGTTGGAATGATAATGAGATATATCTTACCTCTTTGAACACAGTGAAACTATAACATTTTCTTCCATCTTTAACTTACTCTCAGAAAAGAGATGCAACACCTCAAATTCCTTTTATGTATTTTGTATATGGATTGTGCAGTTTCAGAAATCCATGTTGGAGCCTTTCATAAGCAGTAGTAATTAAGTTTCTCAAGGAATTTTTTTGCTAGATTATTAATTTTTGCACCTTGTTTGACACAATATGAATTACTACTAGAGTGGTAGCAAATTGTGGGTCTTTTGTCTCTTTGAATGTGTTCATGTTAGAATCTGATAGATTCAGGAAGACCTGAGAATTTCCTAGAACATGTGTTTGTTAAATCACACTAAGAAATTAGAATTTATTATATTAACTTTTAGGTTGCCTAAACTGTCTTGCTGGGTTAATTTTTCCTTCAGATGAATTTAAATTAGGGAAGCAAAGCAAGAGCTGTAACTCAGCCATATTACAATTCTTACAGTTTGCAACTGAATAGGAGCCCCTATTTTGTCCAGGATTCACAGTATGACTGGGTGTCTAAATCACTCCACTTCAAAACAAGTCTAGCATAAATTTTCAGCTTTAGTTGTGAGTTTCCTGACTTTTCTTCCCTGAAAATAAGCACTGCAGGTTTGATTTGTATCAACAGTGTGAGCATTTGAGGGATCTTCTGACTGCAGATGTGGAGACTGTATGATGAGAAACAGGGTGGCAGAAAATACAGGATTAAGGAGTCGGTGGTTATGTTTCTGACCAGTTCAACTCCAGCTCAATTCTTCGACTTGCCTCCCTAGTGAAAGAAAGAAAGGGAAGGTGGAGAGAAAAAAAGGCAATGCTCTCCAGTTTTGCCGCTGTCTGAATGGGTATACACTTGTAAACAGGAATAATTTGGATGATTTTTCTCTCCAGTATCAAGTGGTATGGTAATGTATCTGTATCTCATGCAGTAATTTTTTATGTAAAATGTGTCTGCAAATGTGCCTCGTGACCCTGGGCAAAACATGTTGCAGAGCTGGCTTCCTGTCCCTGTGCTGGGGGTGCAGGGGTGGGCAGCAAGGGGACTGCCTCCTGCCAAAAGGATCTAGGGCAATTTTGGTAGAAATCTTGGTGGCTCAGTGACTGCCAGCTCACGTGGACTGAGGACAGACACCAGGGTGTCAGTTAGGGAGCATGGTGCTGGAGCACAGAAATGCTGAAAAGAAACGTGAGGAAGATGCAGTCAGGGAGAGCCTGTGTCTGAGTCCTTGCACAGCTTTACTGTGACAGAGAAACTTGTCATTTTTATCAAAACAAAGTTGGTTTAAAACTGGCAAAACAAAGCTTAACTAACTTTTCAGAGACTAATGTTTAGGTTTATCGTGGTATATGTATTGTATATTTATTTTTTTTTCCACAGAAACCTGCTAATATTTTAGTTATGGGTGAAGGTCCTGAGCGAGGAAGAGTAAAAATTGGTATGTTTATATCTTTGATAAGTCCCAGTGTAGCATTTAAGTTAGAATGTTCTGAAGGTGCAGTTGTACCACCTAAAGTAGTCACTGTAATTCTAGTGTGTGCCTGGGCACATTGCCTAAATGCTGTTTTCTGAGTGACTGGCTTCTTGATATTAGCCCCATGCACCAGTTCTGATGATGAAATGCTGTAGCCTCATCAATGAAAAGTGGAAAATGTCGTATTTTGTTTAAGTGGGTGTTTGTGTGGGGTGGGGGATTTTGATATGGGGATAAGGATGAGAGCTAGCTAGGGGAAAGGAGGAGAAAGAAATAGGATTTTAAAATTTCCTCCATTTACCCCTAAAATGCCATGACATTATTTGCTGCTGCTTATAAAATCTAACTAGGGAACTACTCATTGCTACAAACCTTAAATTTCATAATGGATCCAAAGGTGGCATTTGGCCTACAAAATATTCTTGAAAGGGTAGACAGGTCTCTTGAAGATAAACGCAAGGGATGTTAAAGTCCAGAAAACATAGTAATCCAGACAAAATGCTTAGTGAGAACTACTAAATGCTCAGACTGG